TAAGCACGGACAGAAACAAAGTGGAGCACCGAAGTAAACTACATGAAAAATTAGAGGGAGAAGCCGAAGGTACTTTACATGATCATGAAGGCGATAGAGAAATCTTGGACGAACAAGGAAATGATGGAGCTATCTTCACGATTGATCCATCCACTGGTCTCGTCCTCTTGGCTCGGCAACTTTTACGCGGAGTGCGAAACTATCTGCTCGTCATAGGAGTTCACGACATGGGTAGACCAATTCAAAGAAATGCCTCTGTTACAGTCAATGTGCATGTACAGGTGAGCGCTGAAATTTAATTGTAATAGCTTTCCTAAATTGCAAAATCTAACATTTTATAGCTAAATTATCTATATAAATAGATTTTTGACCACGAAGCTTAAATGAAGGATACGTTGCCTTCTTTTAAATAATAATTTAGGTCTAAATATCTTCAAATGCAAAAGAATATAATAAGGATACACGAGAATTTAACTTAATGACTACTTTTTGAATGTAAATATGCACTAATTAATCATAAAATATTAATTTGGAGCTGCTTTATCATTATCATGAAAGCAACTTATCCTAGAAAGATCAACCTTTTCAATTTAGTTCAAATTTTCGTAGATATTAAGAACAAGATGGTGTGGCCTTCAGTTTGGTTGCAGTCTCATTTAGCTTTATAGTGTTGACACAATCTTGTTTTCATAACTTGGTCGGAGCGTCAGAAAGACCTTGTGGAACGTACCTAGCCCCGTTTCCTCTGCCATACTATACGTGATTTCCAGCATTGGACCATTAGCTATGTACATTCTCAAACGCTTCGCCCGCATCGTCAGTGAGAGGCGCCATCGTAAGAACAGAGTCACAACTAAGTACAAATTTGTTTTTTAGAATTTCTTCTGAATTACACCTAAAATTATTTAACCAGATGGAAGATTGCATTAATATAAAATGCCTTTCACCGTAATTGTTAGCACAAATTTGCTTTATCAAAAAAGTGCACATTTCTTAGTTACACGCCAGAAACCAACAAGTAAATTAAACTAGTTAAAATATTAAATTTAATATTAGTCCATTTATATCGTAGTTTTGGAGGAAATCGAATTGAATTATAGCTTCTGGCAACATTATTTCTAATATTGTTTAGTATTCCAAGTTTAGAATATTATTATCGGAGAATATGAATCGCGACTTAACAAAGCAGTTCAGATTTTACACCCCAAATGATATTCTCATATGAATACAAAAAAATAAAATGGTATGAAAAATTTTGCTCATAATTTGCAAACCTATTAATTCATGGCTGTAATAAAATGGATGCAAGCTTTGGAAATTATATAAAATATGCATATGGGGGGATATATTTGTTATTATTTTTACGGATTAGTAAACAATATAATTTAGAAAATAAATGTTTGAATTAAGATTATATAAAAGGGATGAGTAATAAGGGAAAAGGTTTCGATTGCATTGAAATATTTTTTTTCTGAATATCTAGTATTATGTAGAAAAATTAGGTTTCGAAAATCCCTTAATAGATTCATGTTGGAGAACCTTTCATTTCGTTTTAAGAGGCGATTAGAAGGGATTAGTAAGTAACATTGTAACAACGAAGGCATAAGTGTTTTAAGGGAGGATAAAGCTGTTCGGTTTCAATTGCACCCATTTCACGCTTCATCTGTAGCAACTTCACATGTCAACCGCAGCCACTTAACTTGACGTATGAGCAAATATAGAGACAAAGCATAGGACATCCAACCAAAACATGATATGCATAAGTGAAATATAAGAATGAAGTAGGTTTAAAGCCTGCCACCTTTCTTGCCCTCTTATTTTGGTGAATTATCGTTAATCATGGTGTCCTGCTCTGACGCTGTCAGTCACATGACGGTCGAGAGCTCAGCAACGATTCATTGGGGAAGCAAGGCAGTTCGCCGAGGACCTATTCGCACAAATCTGATACCATAGCAACCTCCACACAGCCTTTGGTGGAACTAACTTACGAATCTCTTCCACTCGCCTCTTTAAGCGAAATGAAGAGACTCCAACATATATATAGTAGTATCTTTCTATTGCACAGTAAATTAATGGTATAATGGGCTAAAAAAAGACTGACCAAAGTTTCATCAGTAATTTGACATTGTGTAAGCTGATTTGAACCTTAAATACAATATAATTTAGAATAAATATGATCATTTATGAGAATGAATTAAATTAGAATCCTTTAAAGTACTGACAGATTACTTGAATTAAAAATCTATAAAATATGAAATTTAAATAGCGCCTCGCGTTTCACCGCCCGTAAATCATGATGAATGACTGAAGGTAAGATTTAAAAAGCGCATTTTTAACTCATTCGTTCTGGAAGAATCAAGGTAGCATGCGATTAACACATTTTTCAGCCGCATCTTAATAAGATATTAATTAATAATACATCAGAAAAGAAATCACATATAGCCAGTTAGGCAGTGAATGGAAAACTTAGAATAAAGAAGGAATACAATGCGTTCGAAAAATAAAAATGTCTATAATGAATCTGAGTAGAGTAAAAATAGGCAAAAATGAAACTTGAATAAGTAATATATACTTATATGAAAGATATCTATCATGGAGCAAATTGACATTATATAAAGAATAAACAAAATGGTAAATAAATATGGTAATTAAAGCAATATTCTGAAAGCTTGCTTTGAGCAGAAGTAATAAGATATAAAGAA